TATCCCCTGTGTGCCTTGTCGACTCAGTGAGAGAGAAAGAGAGAGAGATTGCAGCGGCGCCCGATGTTACGGCTGCTGCTGGTTAACAGTCGCTTCGGGTGGCAGCGATTACGCTCGTTCCGGTGTCGCGTATTTCGTGGACGCCGTTATCCGTACATTGTCGTCGTCGTCATCATCGGGGATCGCCATTCGCGTCGCAGGTGCAAATTCGTCTCGCATTCATCGTGAAATTAGGAATGACGGATGCGTTCCGACACACGCCGAGTTGTTTGCGCTGAGTTAGTCACTGTTCAATCAAGATGGCTTGTTTTTACTGCTCTCCCTCTTCTGCAAATCTATAGGCCTTGTTTGACCAGCTTCAGCGCCAATTATATGCTTATCTCCTCTGAAAGAAATAGGCTTTGAATGTGTTTGGCATTGATGTTTCAATGCCAAACACATTGCTTCGTTATATATATCGTAATTTCCCTTATCGCGAAATTAAGAATGATAGATGCGGTCTGACACGCGCTGAACTGTTTGCGTCGAATTAGCCACTGTTCAATCAAGATGGCTTATTTTTTACGGCTTTGCTCCCTTTTGCAAATCTATAGGCCTGCTTGATACCCTCCTCCCTCTCCTTCGGTGACAATTATACTTATCTTCTCTGACAATAAGTGTATAATAGGCTTCGATTATGTTTGGCATTGGTGTTTCAATGCTTTTTGTATATATCGTAATTTTCTCTCTTTCTCTCTCCTTCCTTTTCCTTTCTGTATTCTTTATCTATAATACTTATGGGCTTATTATTTTTTCCAGTTAAAGCGCGCCAGTACCGTGCATATTATTCATTCGCCGGTCAATCATGACGAGGCAAATTGAGCTCTTGGATTATGCATATAGGTATGAGGCGTAACCCAAAAAGACCGATGCCACACAACATCCTCGCAATTCTTCGTTGCGTTATATTAAATTATAAAAAATTTTTAATATAGAGAAATTTATATAAAATTTTTTCGCCGCATACAAATGCGTTCTCTTTTCCAGACTCGCCAGTTTGCGAGAGATAGAATTTCGCCACTGACTGGCTTTGAAACTTATCTCGCACGAATCGATTCGCGGCTCTCTCTCTCCATTCTTGCGTTCATATTTCACGGGAATATAACGATCTCGCGCACAAGAAATTAATTCAATTGTCCTCAGCCGCTCTGTTTTTGAGTAACATTGCGGAACAATCTCGTTATAACGCCGGCAGTCATATCGTGACTCGAGGCGCCATTCGTTTTTTACCTGTTGCGAATGCGAGACAGACGGAGGACGGGGGGAGGGGCGGATAGGTGAAGAGGCGAGCCAGCTAATTTGCCTACGTTGCATTCATTCGTAGCGTTGTTTTTTTTTCTTCTTTTTTTTTTTACTGAAATAATTGCACGGCAGATTGTGCGTCCCCGCGCGAACGGGAGAAAAGTCAATATACACCTCGCGGCTAACGCGGCAACTTTCGTTCCGATATAACGTATCGAAACGCGTGTGCATGTATGTATATGGATGAAGGCGTGGTGATTGGCGCGTGTACGCGAGGAGAACGAGCCCGTAATACTACGTGAGAGTGCCAAGTGTAAAAATGCGCGTGATGACGGTAGGATTAGATCAGGAATTTAAATATCCCGGCGCGGAGTTTCTTTCGCGATCAGAGTTGGCGATCGTAGTTTGATAAATATTTATGACAGGCTTTTATTTTGTGGAGGAAGGGGAGGATCGTTACATCTATAATTTATATCGCGCTATACGTTTCACGCAAAGAAAAAGAGAAACACGGTATAGATGACAGACTCGGAGCTGGCGAAACGCGGCAGCATTTCGTGAACTATAGCCTACACATCTCCGCGGCCACTATTCGCGAGGGAATATAATCCTCAATGAGAATATTAAAAATCAAAAGCGCCCGGCAAAAATAAAAAGTTCCCGCGCGGTCGGCCGCGCACTTCCAATTTCGGACCTTCCGTCCGTATTTGCACGCTGGAATTGCGAAGGTGCCATTCTTGGATACCTCGAACGCGCGGCGTCATTCTTACCCGGTATTGCGCTTAATCTTCTATTCGCCGGAAAATTACGTGACCCGTGTAATACACTCTGTACATACCGGCCGATCACCGCACTTCCGGACACCAATGTAATGAAGTTCCCGAATGGCGCGCGATCTCACCTTTCTCGCCGTCTCTCCCATCGCGAATATCGCGATAAGGTCGCCAGAAGTTCAACGCGCGGAAGTTTCATGAGATGGGAATTTTTTACTTTAAGAAATATTGGAATTGTTTGTTCCTTATACACATCCTTTTTCTGAGATTAACTCTTATCCTGATGGAATGGGTCAGGTTAACGGACAACTGCTAGATATGTGTATTATTTTTAAGAAAACCGCAGGATTGTTTTATCCACGTAATAAAATTTTTATTTGGAAAATGGATGTAACGGAGTACGAAATATATTGATATTTGGGCAATATTCTGGACATTAAATGATCCAAATACTTTCATGTGAAAAAAAAATAAAGAAAAATTTCTTTCGCAGAGAGAAGAAAAATGAAACAGAAGAAAACCTGTTGTTAACAGGCACGATTATAAAACGGATACGTTCGTGATTCATTAACAGCGCGGAGTGCGAGATTTGCTTGTGAATAATGTAAAATAATTGCATAGTCATTGATTGGCCGTGGTTGAATGCCGACGCATGACTCAGTGACAATTAGCATCGTTTGGACTTTGATATTGTCACATAATATAATTTTCTTAAAGCAGCACTCTACTCTCTTCGCACTTCGTTCCTCTCTCGTGAAAAGCAACGAAAAAACAAGGAGAATAATTTTAGACACTTTTTCTCTCAAGCAAGCTCAGCGCCCGCAGCGGGCGACGGATCGCTGAGCTAACGGCTTAATTGTACGTTTAAAGTTTAGACAGTTACGTCGTAACTGCGCGAGGGCGTAAAAGCGACCGGAGCGAACGTTTAAAATTGCGAGGGTTTACGATCGGAAGCGTACCGCGCATCGGTTATTATACATGCCGTGCGTGCGGCAACGTGGATTTAATGATGCATTATCTCGCGCGATAAAGAGAGGCGTTTGTAATATTGCGTCACCTTTCCGTGCACACACACACACAGTATATGCATTCCCGTGTGGGTCGCCGGTCGCACGAGAATGATCGGCCGTGCGCGCGAAGCCGAAGTGAATGTGCGCCCCGCAAAGAGTCGGCTACTCCGCCAACACTGCCGCAAGAAAATTACACGTATCGCGTCGCGTATAAAGCGACGAGTGTGCCTACATTAAAAGGTCTCCCCTTTTTTTTCGTACATTTCATAATAGATTTATCTAGGGCGATGTGCACGAATGCGTGACGGATTTGGTATGCCTGCGCGCGCGGTTCAAATTCACATATGCGTGTAAATCCACACTAAAATGCAATGCGATGCAATGCAATGCGGCATATTCGCACGCAGTATCCACTTTGAGCGAAACAGAGTGTCTCGATCAAAGCGCATTTATTTATTTAACGAGTCCGAGTACACACAGAAAATTTGTGGTTTCCTGCGAATTAAAATGAATGTACTACCTCTCTCTTTCTCTCTTTCTCTCTCTCTCTCTCTCTTCTTCTCTCATTACACATGATAAATTTTCATTGGTCGAACGCGGTAACCAGAATCGCGTAAGATTTATCGCGTTTTGCGTTTGTGATTTCGCGCTTTTGTTTACGCTGCAAAATGTTGCGCCGGTCCCGGTGTAGATTTACCGGGCGATTATCGACTCATTGCTTTATCCTAGTATTTAACAACAAACACGTTTAACAAATCTCGCGCGTTAAACTGATTTATCATTTTCGATTTGCGCATGCAATCATCTCTCACTTTCGTTACTTTCGCTGTTTTCCACATTTAAAATCGTTACACGATGATTTCCGCACAGATTTATTATTATGCAATATTGATTCGTTTTACAATTAAGAATATTGACTTACTGACATTTTGTAATATTTTTTTATGCCGCATTATTGCATGCTCCTTCAGCGATATTCCACGCTTCATCAACGCCGCCTCGTTTTCCGCGATCGTTCCCCTAGACGACACGAATTTCCACCGTCGGCACACTAATTAAAACACATCGCCGTGGTATTTACACCTCATTAATTTTGTCGCTTTTATTTCGATATCTGCGTGAGATCTGCGGATTGTCCGATGGCCGCAGGTAGCCGGCTAATTACGCTAACAACCTTTTTGCGTGCCGTTCGACGTCACGGACTTCTCGTAACCCTTTAAATCTCGCTGATTCGCCGCCTTAAAAGGCAATCCTCCGCCCTCCCCTTTTTTCTTTTCCTTTTTCATCGCTCTCTTGTCCCTCTATGCAAATTTGCGGTACGCTGTCTGGCTTCCTCTAACTGTGCCGCCAATTAAAACACTCCTTTTTCGAACGCAGCAACAACGCGGGATCCAGATTCGATATGTGTATATGGTGTATGTGTGTAAGATCGGATCGCGTAGAGACAAACGCGCCTGCGGGCGCAATAGTTTCGAAAGAGATTTCGAGACTCAAATAAATATTTGACTTTTGAAGTCCAAGCATTTCTCGCTCCTTCCCTTCTCGATCGAGTAATAATTTAACCTTTAAACCACCATGCCCAAAAAAATCACACTAACCACAATGTCGGTCTAACAGACTGTT